AGCGACAAGTCTCCGGATGTGCTTCAGTCCAGAGTGAACACTGAAATAAGAAAAGTAGCAAATTGGATGAAACAAAACAAATTAACATTAAATGTAAATAAATCAAAAACTATGTTGTTTGCTCCAAGTAAATCCAAATCACAGACATCTGTGAAAATTGAGATTGAAGGAACTATTCTTGACAACGTTAGCTCATTCAAATATCTTGGCATCCACATTGATAACAAACTGCAATGGGACATTCAAATAACCAACACTGCTGTTAAATTAGCCAAGGCGGTAGGAATGCTTTATCGGCTTAGGCGTTATACTTCTTTGTCTACGTTACGCATGATATACTTCGCTCTGTTTCAATCTCATTTGCAATATGGTATTATAGCTTGGGGATCAGCTAATAAAACTTTGTTACACCGGATTGAAGTATTACAGAACAGGGCTATCCGTGCTTTGACCCATGCTGGACCAATGTCAAGATTAGATCCTCTTTACCATAAGAATCAAATAATCAAAATGTCAGACATTTATAAAATCGAGATACTGAAACTCATGCACCAACACCTAAACAATAAACTGCCTATGGCTTTTAAATACTATTTTGTCAAACAGATGAGTGTTCACTCTCATTCAACTCGTTCCGCTGCCAATAGCTCATACCATGTGCCTCGCTTTTCTACCAATCGTTCACAAAGCTCTATTAAATTCATCGGTGTGAAACTCTGGAATACGCTCCAAGACACACTTCGCTCTAAGACTTATAATTCATTCAAAAAAGCACTAAAATTTCTTTACTTAGATTCTTATATCTGTCAGTAGGCTGGCAGAGTTGAAATGTATCTCAGACTGTTTGAAACTCACTTTTTTCAAATTATGGGTGTTACCTTCATCTTGTCATTATTCTCATGATATGCTATCACTATCCTTGTATTATTATTATTTTATTTGCTCTTCAATACTGTGGTATACTCCAATAGTATGTGCTGCTCACAGAGCATGACTTTCTCTCACAAAGCACTTGTGTTTCTTACCTTTATTTGCTCAAGATTCTATAATAAGCTAGGTATCCTTTCACCTTATTGACTTCCATTACTGCTATTTTATTATTTAATAGCATGTGCTCCTTATGAAAGTCACTTCACAAAATAACTGTATTATGAACTCTTATAACAAAGACAAAATTCAAAAACTTTAGTTACCTCTAATAGTCATTGCTTCTTTAATATGCTTTCATCCATTGTAGTTCACATATGTCGTTTAATATTTCCAATATATATGTGCTCTTTGCAATCCTAAATAAATTGAATATGTCTTTTTCTTAATCATAATTCATTGGTTATATTAGTAGTTCCACTGCTGCTGCTGCAGGGAATTCCCCAAGTAGTCAACAACATTATGCTGCGTCACGCACGTCAGCAATTTCTTTGTTGTTGGCGTGCTCGGTGGAGCATGGCGTTGAGTTGTTTAAATTCGTCAATGCTTTTTTCTATTTAATCGAATCTTCTGTTCTCACGTACATTTTAGTTCCCAAATTGTTTCATTTATTTTTGCTGATTTATTTCTGTATTGTTTGACTTAATCTGCTTCTATAATGGTGTCGCTGACATGATGACTTTTGATAGTCTTTTCGCGATCCCTCGTCTATTGCAGTCCAAATATTGTACCTCTTTCTTTCAATGTATTTATTTAATTTTTACCATTTGTTTAAATGTACAATGTTTTTGCACGACGAAAAATAAATATCTGAATCTATCTGAATCTATCCTGCATTTTTTAATCCTACTCAGATAGGTGTATATACAAATTTCTTTTACGTGACTGAGAAGGCTGAAAAGTCAAAATATAAGTCGCTCAGTGAGTGTAATCCCTTCCAAAATATTTTTAAACCCTGAAATGTTTTGTCGTAGCTAGCGTTGCCAACTGAACATTATAGTTTTGTATGTGTATGTGTTAGCCAAGTGAATAGTCCCTTTGCGTAACTTGATGGGCCGCGGCTATTCACTTGGCTAACACAGACAGTTCCCGAACTCATAATAGCTCATAACTCATAATAACTCAATTTTTTCCAGCCTTTATACAAAAATAAAGAAAAATACCAAGCAACAGAAATAGGTACTCCTGTAGTATGTGTACCAGGTTAGGGTTAGAACAAAATTTTGTTCAGATTTTTCACATTATAGTTCTATTATGAGTTCGGGAACTGTCTGTGTTAGCCAAGTGAATAGTCCCTTTGCGCAACTTGATGGGCCGCGGCTATTCACTTGGCTAACACAGCCAAGCCAGCCAACCCTAACCTGGTACACATACTACAGGAGTACCTATTTCTGTTGCTTGGTATTTTTCTTTATTTTTATATAAAGGCTGGAAAAAATTGGTGGCATCCCGCGACTTTGTTTTGGTTCGAATATTGACAGTTTTGTAAAAATTGAAAATTTTGGTAAGACAATTGATTAATTTCCTGATGGGGCCGCGGCCCATAGCTTGATGGCCACGGCCTATGTGGCCAAATTAGATAGGTCGTAGAACAGTCACCACTCCTGTAGAGATGATATCCACTTTGCGCAATTTCCGGATCTTTTGAAAACAGTGGAATATAACTGAAGATTCATTTCGTTCGTTTCCATTTCATATACTATACGTACAGACAACGGCACAATATATTTTCAACAGCCAAGCAAAACAGAAACGTATAATCCGACTTGCAATAGACAAGAGCTAGCTGGAGTTTTTTTGCCGTCCAGTAAACAAAGTCACGTGACCGTGCAAGTCCTCTTGAGCAAAGCCCATATGAGAGAATCTTTCAGGGGTCGAGGTTCGTAGAAACGTCCGTAGCTTTCACTGGCTGTCTGTCGTTAGCGACGCACGATACCGGCTCGTCTATAGTTTATACTTCCTTGGATAGGATATGACATGGAATATTGAATTTGAGAAGAAGATCATAGAAACATGTACCGGTACTGGTATAATAGAATTGTTAATTCAGGTTCTTCATTATATGCCGCATATGAATCATTTCCTCCAATAGAGTTTATTTTGGGTTTAGTTTTTGGAGGTAGAATTTTCGGGTCTAGTATAGTTTAGTACCACAAGTACTTCCAGTTGGCGTATCGAAACGAATTTCGCATATGTTATTTCTAACCTCCACCTGACTATGCCATCCAAAAATTACGTCAATACGACGTCACAAACACGTCATAGATCTTGCCAAAGTATATTTACGATCGCCCGAAATGGCATCTGCGCCGCCGATAACGAACTCACTAACGACGGCGATCTCTCTCCTATCGTGATCGTCATGACGGAAAAACGAGAGAAACAGCTTGCTCGATTTCGGGTGATCGTCTGCGCGTTTTGGACGACCATCCGCATACTTTGTGGTGGGGTTATTACGCCAATGTGACGTCAAAATGACGTAATTTTTCAGTGACGTAGTCAGGTGGGGGTTAGGATTGGCATATGCAAAAATTGTTGAGCCAGGTCAACTAGAAGTACATGTGGAACTAAACTATACCAGATCCGAATTTTCCACATTACCTTGTAATTAAAAGTTTTAAGTTTACAGAATTGGGTAATATCAGCATATTATCATTGCAGCAATGAATTTTAAAATAATACAAAAAATGAACAAACTCTGAACTCATGTTATTAAATGAACATTTGTTTTGGAAATGTGTATTTATACAGTCTGACAGTATCGTATATTTAAGATTATATTTATGATATTAACAGTAATTGTCATTTTTTTCAAAGACTGAAAGATGCATACTCGTAACTGTTGGTTGGATGGTGACAATTAATGTCATGTGATGAGTATTATTTTCTTTTGACCTATTGTTTGAACGCATACAGAAATAGCCTATTAATAAACAAAAGATAGGCTATGGAATACAATTTAGCAAAACAAAGTTACCAGATGCCGTACCCTGGTACCTTTGTACCTGAACCACTCTACAGCTGTACGGGTGACTGGGTGAGGAGCCCAGCAACCCTCTTTCAAAAATATTCCCCCAGGATTCGAACCTTTGCAGGAAAGCTAAAAAGTATCCCTATTCTCATAAATTATAGCCTAACACTGTAATGCAGGGGTCGGCAACCTACATCCGGCTCGCGAGTAATATAATCCGACCCACGACGATTCACTGAATTATAATAAAAAAACGGGAGTTTTGATGATTTTATTCTTTACGTAACAAAATTTATTGTGAGATACGTGTAGAATAATTTATTTTAAATCTAACAAGTATAAAATTCACAATTATTCGTTTAATGAGCCAAAAATATAATTAGTCTATAATTAGACAAATGGCTACAAAACGCAGAAAAGTTGATGCTAAGTGCAAAGGCAGAAAGAGTTCAATGGCGTCAAAAATATTCAAATGGCATTTTTGAGATGCAATGCAATACGAAAATAATTCTATATTCTATTTGAGAGATTACTGCATGATTTTTATTATAAAAAGTATCGGTTTTCATATTTCTAAAATATGTGCGGCCCGCCAATGACTTGCAATCTGTAATTTTGACCCACGAGCGACAAAAGGTTGCCGACCCCTGCTGTAATGTGACCAAAATTATGTTCAACATTAGAATATTATAGATATTGGGTCTGGTACACCTGTACACAAACTGACAAACAAGAATAAATGAATGGGTATTACATGGATGTATGTTACTATAACGATACCAGTGACAGGATAAGGGTCTTGGTACAGTGGTAACTACTGCACTATGGTATCAAAACCAAAAAAATAGAAGACAACTAGAAGATTAAGGATGTGGGATAGATGGTGATCTCATTGTGTATTAGGGATGCCAGTAAAAACAATTTTTCTTGAAAACTTTACCTAATAAAAATATTGCAGAAAGGTTGAAAACCATGGGTGAGAGATTTAAAATATTTTCCCTATTCTGATGAATACAGGAATAAACAGATAAAACACTTGTTTTGTCAATTTTTGAATTAGAGTGATTTATGACATCTGTTTATTTGTAAAAATTGTAATAAATAATTGCATATATTCATTATAGCCTATATAAACTAGTTAAGTTAATTATGCTGCTTTTGGAATATTCTTGGCATTGATCTCAAAATTGAATGTTATCTAAAGTGGAATAAAAATGGACATACCTGAACATATGCCAGATAGTGGAGCTGTATTTACGTTTGGAAATAGCAAATTTTCTGACAATAATGCTGGTTGCTTCTGGTTGAAGAACGATGTCATAACTTCAGCATCATGTGGTGATGAACACACAGCATTCGTGACAGAATCTGGAAAACTGTATGTCTTTGGTTCCAATGACTGGGGACAGCTTGGCCTCGGTCACACTCATCAAGTGAATAAACCAACCTGTGTCAAGTCTCTAAAGATGCACAATGTTTCGATGGTAGCATGTGGCAGAAATCATACCATTGCTTGTACTGCGAATAACAAAATATTTGTATTCGGCAACAATAGTGACTCACAACTTGGTGTAGATGATATTGATAGCAGTAACTTACCATTAGAGGTGAACGTTGTAAACAATGGAGCTATAAAACAAATTGGTGCAGGTGCTGATTTTTCAGTAGCATTAACAAGCGATGGGGATATTTACGTATGGGGTAGCAATGTTGAAGGCCAATTAGGTCTTGGCAGTGAAGTAAATGAGGCAATCAAACCAACTCTTATAAAAACGATAAACCAAGTAAAGTATGTAGCATGTGGATATTATCATATGGCAGCAGTGACGGTTTCTGGTGATTTGTACACTTTCGGAGAAGATGAATATGGGAAATTGGGTATAAGAGATGCTAATGACAACTGTGTACCATCGAAAGTGAAACTTCCTGTTAAAGTAGTTGCGGTTGCTTGTGGAGGCTCCCATACCGCAATAATTTCGAAAAACAATGATCTGTATACAATGGGTGATGGGACGCGTGGAGAGTTGGGTCATGGCGAAAATGTATTACAGACATCCACACCCATGTTAATAGAGCGACTGCGTGGACATCATGTGTCAGAGGTATCATGTGGTGAAAATTTCACATGTGCTATTACAAAAAAGGGCAGACTTTATACTTTTGGAGACGGGCGTCATGGAAAACTTGCTGTAAATGAGGAAAATTTTACCAACCAATTCAAACCTTTTCGGTGCACCAAGTTTGACAAATGTCTAGTGTCTTTTGCTGAATGTGGAGGATGTCATATGGTCGCTTACGCCCGATTCGATAAAATGAATGAAGGAATTCCGAACACTGACTCTGAAGGTGAAGATCCAATGCAAACGTTAAATGGTAATATCAATTCTAGTGAATTGCTCGCTTCAAGAAGTATAAAAGGTGCTGTGGAGGATAAATTAGGTGTAGATGAAAATATTTCTGTGAATTTGTCACGATCACTATCTGCTAGGGAAAAGCGTAGGCAAGGACGCGAAAATATAAAGAATCGGACTCTTCCACCACTCAAGACACTAAAACCAATTGAGCTTGAAGAAGCAGCAAGGTCGCTACCAAGGCCAACACAGTCTTCCAGGAATTATGACTTCATAAATGAATGGTCACATGGTTCACCACAAAAAGACACTGACGCAGCGTCTGAAATTTCTGCATTCAACAAGGTTCATATGGTTCAACAAGTGGGCGATATAAATACGCTAACACCAATTCATGCTAAACCACGTAAAGTGGAAACTGATTCCAAAAAAGATACAAAAAAACAGCATCAAATGAATGAAAATGGGGAAATACTAGAGATTAAATCTAATGAATCAACACCAGTTATTGTAATGAATGGGGAGCACCATGTTGAATTGAATGATCAGAAAAAATCTGATGATAAAATTATCCCCCCAAGCATGGATGAATCTGATGATGATGATGAAGAAGATGCAGATGACGAGGAAGAAACTGCAGATGAAGAGGACGAACCAAGTGAAGAAGACAACAATCCTGAAATCAATAAACAAACTGAAACTTCTACCCAAGAAGATGGAAGTGATAAACAGGAACAGACAGAAAATAAATCTGAAAAAAATTCTCTGAAAGATGACCCACAAACGAGCAGTGTTCATCAAGAAAAACAAAAGAAAGGGAAATTACGATGGTTTAAGAAAGACAAAAAAGACAAAGTATCAAAAACTAGTCAAAATGCTTCCGGAGATGGTAAACAGGGCGATACAGACAATTTTGAAAAGAATGTAAATGGCGATGCAGAAAATCAGGATATTCCATCAAAAACAGAACAGAATACTTCTGGTGAAAGTGGTTCTACATCACAAGAAGCAACTGGTATTATAAACGAAAGTGGAGACACAACTACCTCTGGACAAAAGGATTCACCCCAGCAAGAGCAGACTACAAATGAGGCTCCCGCTACAGGTGCTGGGAATCCTACGGGGACAAAAAAGCAAAAATCAAAATTCTGCAATATTTTGTGATTTCAATCTTCTTGGATATTTTGATAGCAACTCTATTTCCTACAATTAAATTTCTATTTATCTGAATTTGTTAGCAGAATAGTAATGAAAACCTGCACTTAAACTAGTTTTCGATAAGGACTCTATGCTTCAAACTTGACATCTAGATTTTATGTCCTTTTCTTATATAAAACTTGAACTCACTTTCAAAGCCTGTGATAGCAACCAGGTAAATTCATATATTTTTTTATATTCATTTGAATATTTATCGAAAAAAATTTTTTATACTCATTATTTTACTCATTGAAACTCTATTACCCTACCGATATATTAAATATTCTACAACAAAATTTCTGTGACAAACCTGTAAGTTGGAATATAGGCTGCCAAGATTGTATGTCTAAGTATACACTATTGTTTGGCACTTTTATCCTGCATTAAGGTCAATTTTAATACGGAAAGTATGGTTTGTGGTTGATGTATTGGTATAATTTCTAAGGTTGTTCAAATTTTCTTGGAATTCCGAAACATCAAAGTAATGGGATTTGAATCCATAATTCATAATCACCAGCATAGGATGTCCATAACAAAAAATGTATTTAAGAGTTAACAAACTTTGGCGGGACATAGTCATAACAGTACATCATAATACCTAGATTATGATTTAAATTCAAACTATTTTGGGAAATATGGTAATATTTTGTTATTTATTAGTCTTGAGTGTATATAAGTACCTGCTATAATACTAGTTGTTCATTGAAGTAAAAATTTACGGCAAGTTGTTCCAGACTTTATGCAATTTATTCATACATGTTATGTTAATGTTTAATAGCAGTATTGTCTACTTTTTCATTTATTGTCATCCAAGGTTAAGGTAGCGTGTTTTTCTGTGACCAAACTTTTCTAACGTTTTATGTGATGCATATGTAAGGCTTTACTTTAGTGAGATGTTTAATTGGCTCATTTAATAAACCCAAAACTTCCATTTAAAAAAATGTTTCCGACTAATATACTTCGGAAATTTTAGGGATTTATTTTTACTAATTGAAATGACTTGTGATGGTAAAAGTCTTGTGCAAGTATTCCATGAAGATTTCCATAGTAATTTGAAGGTATCTTATATTATTGTCTTACATAATATCGCTTTTCTATATATAATATCGTATCCAAATATTTGGGATTATTGTTCGGTACGTTCATGCTATTTGTAGTAGTTTTACAAGACGGGATGAAACTGCATATTTGTTTTGTTATCTTGAATTAATTACTTTTATAATTATTGAGATAAATTTATATACTTCTTTTGATAAAACATTTTACTCTCAATTATATTTTCTCTTATGAAGATATGTGTACCTTGACATATGATTCCATTCAAAAAAGAAGAGTGATTCGAGGTTCAAACACTCCGCCACATTTTGCGTGGTGCCAATGCTTTTTTTAATAATAATTATTTACATTTGAAGAACAAATAGTTCGCGAGACGCGTATGTGTTGTAGCGTTTAAGGAATTGTTTTCTATTTCACGAAAGTATACGGCGCAACATAAACTCATGTATCGCATATTTTATTACAGAAGTCAGGCATACGTATAAAATTTTTGCTTGTCGAATGCTTTCCAATACGAGACAGGCGTGTAGTGTATCACAGCGTTTTCAAGAATAGATAGATGGCTATGCCCGTTTCAAATTCAACTCGCTTCTTTTTTAACGGTGTACAACTGGACCAGAGGTTGGCAACCTACGCCTGCGTAGTAAAAAAATCCGGCCGGCAACGCTTCGCTGAATGATAGCCACCAAACGGTTTTTCGCGATTACATTCTTTGCGTAACAGAATTTATTGTGAGACACGTTTAGACTAAAAACTAAATGATATTATAACCTAACATTTTAGTGAACAGCTAGCTACTCGTTTAATGAGCTTACGATAATAATATAATTAGACAAATTTCACCAAAACACAGAAAAGTTGGTGCCGAGTTTCAATGGCGCAGAAAATATGCAATGCAGTGGGTAAATAAAATACATATTTTATTCGAGAGATGTATCACTGCTTGATTTTTATAAAATAAAAAGTATCTTTTTAAAAGAAAAACTCCATCCAAATTTGACAAACCATGCAAAAAGATTCACATCGGTGTTTGGGAGTACATATTTGTGTTCGAACAATTATTTTCGAAAATGAACATTACACAGAACAAGCTGAGAACTTAGATTAGTGATTCCCATTTAGAAAATGTTTTAATCTTGGCTTCATCCAGTGTGCCGCCTGATGTCGAAAACGTATCAAGCCTGATGCAACACCAGGTGTCACAGTAAGTGTCATTTGTAAATTTTTTCTTGTCACCACCACCAAGGATATTTCCCCGACCCTTGATCCCAGGGAAATTCTTCCTATACTTTATCACAGCGACCTAGACATATAGGCAGATCTTCCGAGCAATGCTAATCTTTTCAATATTCCTATTAATTCCTAACAAATTCGGGATGGTTGAATGAAAATGGCAACCGCGAAATTCAGTTCAGAAACCCAATTCTTGTATTGGGATACGAGAAATTGGGGGGGGGGGGAAATAAATACAAATGAGATTATATAATAAAGAATTGAATTGAGGATGTAAAGATATATTACGTCAATTTTAGAGGAAAGTACGGCGTACCCAACGGGGCCACCCCCTTGAAGAAATATGAATGGAATTAACGATAATTGCTCTGCAAGTGGCGCGTTGTCTGGCGAATAAGCCTACTACGTTTTAGAATGAATAAACGATTAAACGGTGCATCAACGCTAGGCACAGCCAACCCGCCAAACAAGTCATACAAAAAAATACAAAATTGCCAAACATAAAATGGTCTCGTGCAGGGATTTGTTCAAAAATAATTGTTTTAAATCAAGTTGTTATGCCTATTTCGTTTGAAATGGCTGTGATATTCGATTTTGTTCTGTAACAAATTGGTTAAGACTAAAACAAGAAGCATGGATGTCAAAACTTGCCAACTTGTCACTAATTCACAATATAGCCTTCGAAACACCACAAATATCGATGACCTGCCTGTACACGTTTTCTCAAGCTCTAGCGGAATGCGTCCGTAAACGTGGTTGGCGGAGGAAGACTATAAGCCATTATGTGAACCACCCAGCGACGACGAGAAATCCAGCAATCCTCTTGCACACTGTCACATCACTCATGGGATTTGAACCAGGGCCAGATATACCATTAGGCGAGGTAGGCTAAAGGCTACAGGTCTCGAACCTCGAGGGCTTTAGCGATTAATTTTGAATTATCATTTATTTTATATTCTAAATACTTGTCCCAGAATAATAACAGTGTAAAATTTCATAGAACTCATATTTCTTTATTCAGGTTAATAATTCCAAATATTTCGCGGGGGTGAATTTGTGGAGTCAAGTAGCGGAGAAGGGAATAAAATACAACAAAAAAACTAATTTTGAGACACAGGATCGGTGGAGCAGACTGGTTACCAACGTCATGACTTCCGAGGCAACCAACTACAAATGCGTGAAACTCAACCGCTTTGTCAGTGGCAAAAGCGATGGAGCGACAAGACTCCTCATAATTTGAGTGCCTCGGACGAGCAGACATTACCCTGCTTATCTTCTTGCCGCTTTCAATTAGAGATTGTAAATGGCGATCGCAAAGTTCATCTCCGAGGAGATGGCCCAGTGGCGACTCGTGGAAAGCAGTTGCCCTCACGTTTCATCATATGAGCCAATGCGTCGTCCATCTGACCAGAGAAGTTATCATAATTGAGAGGGCTTGGGTCGTCTCCCAGACCCGATCAATTTTTGCCACACAACCTCGCCCATCGTAACCAGTACCGGCAGACATGTGACAATCCGGAGGTATGGAGCCTCCCTTTTCTGAGAAATCAGTTCTCCCTGGCTGCCCAAGACTGAAGACGACGTGGAATCACGGCTGCATAGATCATATACAGCGTGCGGCAGATTGTCACGGGTCTCCAGTTCACGACATCTTTCATGTCGACCTCCAGGTTCTTAGAAATAAGGGTTATTCGGGAAAAACGCCCCGAATTTAAAATACACCTGGACCTCCTACAAATTTCGATGATCTTGGAGAGAATCTCCGCTGCTGGGCGCTGACCAGTGATATTTTTTAATTCATAGGTGAGGTCATCTGGTCCTTAGAAAGCGCCAGTTTTCAAATCCCGCAAGACCGAAAAAAATCGGAAAAATAATATTTTATTATTATCAAAATATTATTGCAATCCGATGGAGTTATCGTATTACGACTAACTCCAATATCAATTCTAAAATGTAGTAGATTTTCAGTTTAAAACGGTAGTGATCGATTCCCCCTATGAAATTTTAGGCATATATACTGAAAAGTTTCGCCAATAACGCGTGCAATTTCCTCAAGGTTAACTTTTTTTACAGTCGCTGATTGTTCTGGTCTCCATGACGTGTTCATTTATTATGGAAAAAAATCTTTGTATCGACTGACTATGGTCAATTAAAATATCATCTAAGTCAGCACATTCACAATCGATCAAAATAATTTTCAAATCTTGCTTGTCGTAATGACAGAACTGTATGTACACTCTGCTGTGAAAATGTCGTTTGCCGTACCTCGAATATTAAACGTGATTTTGAAATCAAACACAAAAAAATTATTCAACGGTGATTCTGAGAAGACTGAAGCTCTTAAAAAGGCCTCGTTATGAAAAAAAGTAGTATTTCCAAAACAAAAAATTCGCAGTACAATTCAAAGTACGGAAAGTAGCTACAAAATGCAGAATGTATCGCGGGGAGCCTTTCACCGATGGTAATTTTATTAAAGAAATATTTCTCAATTTTTCCGAAGTTCGCTTAGAGGATATGCCAAATAAAAATGCCATTCTCTCAAGGAATAAAAATCTCCCTGTGTCTGCTCTGAGTGAGGAAAAGCAAGGGCAGGGATCCCATCAAAACAGAAGGTTATTGTGGAAATACCTTATATCTCGAAATTTACTTTTAAACATAACTTTAGTTAGTTCGAGCTATCCAAGGAATTTTACGTTAATTTGTACTGTTGTCAGGTGCGATTATATAACGCAAGTTTTCATCGACACGCTGACGTAGGCTATATCTTGACATTAAATCTAAAAAAAAAAATGGCACACTGGAAAGAAAACTTTGCCGACTCCTGGATCGCATGTGTGCAAATGTTTTTACGCGGAATTTCATAAATAAATCTCTTCCTGCAGTTCCCACTGAGAAATATACCAAGTGCTGTACCACCATTTTATGTAGAACTTCTAAATAACTTTAGATTATTGAAAATGAATAAAGTGATATATCTTAATAACAAAACAGACATATTTCGTGATGGTATAACCCTATATTGGGTGATATTATTTATCCATATGACTATTGGAATTGGATTAGGACAGGGATACATACATTGGGTGACTTATTTAATGTGGAATGTTCTCAGATAGTGCTAATGTTGACTAGAAACACTTCGGGGATTAACCAACAAACTTTAAGTAGGGCAAGAACTTTTAAACAGAATATGTTAATTAACATGAATAATTGGACACTTGTCTCAACCAACATCGAACAGTATAATAATATATCCATTGACAAATTTGATACAAAATTCCAGCCCAAAACCAAGCAGCTTTATATTAGACTGATGAGTGACGAAGTCACAAATAGAAAAAGGACCCTAAATGAACGCTTCTATGACTAGTATAGAACAGAATATTCAAATGTGAATTGGAATAAAATTAGATTTTATGACTTACCCAGAAAAACTCAAGACTTAAATTGGAAGATAGCAAATTTCGCTTTACCTTTAGGAATTGTACTAAATTCATGGTTTCAAGATGAGGATGGCTATTGTGTTCTCTGTGATTCAAATGAAACAGTGTATCGTTTATTTGTAAATTGTGATTTTACAAAAAAACTTCTGGGACTGGTGTGAAATTGATAATATGTTTAGAAACGTACAAAATATTGTTCTGCTAAAAGATATAATAGAGGAAAATTTGTTGCTTGTTATTGGAATTGGCAAATATTGCATATGGCGGTACAGAAACATTGTTAAATATGATAGATTTACTAAGAATCAAAGTATTTTAAGAACACAATGGAAAGCCAATATGATAGGACATTTGAACTGTATGCCACAAACGAGAAAAATATTGTATTTGAACACCATCATTGGTGGATTAATGGAAAAATCAGTGCGTTGATTCATTTCTACCTAGATGAGAGATTACTCTTAGAGAGTTTTGATTGTTATGTAACTAATTTGCGAAACCATTTTTCTTTTCTCATGTTAATATAATGTAAATGATATTTCACATAAATGGATGATCA